CCTTTGTCACCTCTGTTCTCTGCACATGCATCACGTGCTAACCTTAGACACATTCCGTCTCTTGACTACCGGTGATCAGGTTCAATGGCATTTTTGACACGGTGTGAAGGTGATCCAAATGTGAAAAGTCTTTGGCCCCGGCCGTTTCGAACCCGTACATGGTCACCACCCTCGATTTAGCACCGCGATTGCTCTACCAGCTGAACTACAGCCAGAGGCTGTATGGTACATTCGGACGCAGCTGGACACTGTTTTGTACACTGGTTCCGGCCCAGCATTGTCTTACACTCCCTTTCCGTATGCAATGATTTGCTTGTTAATTATTCACCAAAGGACGCACAATCACACCGATCGTGCCTTAACAGCGTACGCAATTACACCCGGACACCTCACAATTTGAGGTTTGTATATTTTGCGTATTATCGTGATTAATTTGATAGTGTGATGGAGCGTGTATACTACTTGGTAAGTAGCTGACTGCCGAAAAGCAACTATGGACAGTTGTACATAATCAAAAGCCGCTGTGTCCAAGGGAGCAAAATAAATGAAGTAAGGGACGACATGCAAACCACACGACTGCTCCACCGTCTGGATGGTGGTGTCTTCAAGCGGACAGGACAGCGACTTTGCAAAAATGCGTGTTTGTAACGTTTGGTCAGTTTTGTTGAAGTCCGAACGAGCTGGTTCTAATAAACGATATACTGTTCAGGCATGTCTTGCGGACTACAACAATAGTACTGCATCGCCAGACGATCTCGTTTTTTTGTCGCGGACGATCCGGGTTTTTACGCGTCACTCGACTGGTCCCACTAGATTTCACGGGTGGAATCTTTACGTAAGTTTATCGCGAAACAGCCCTTGAAAGTTGTCCGCAAATTATTGTATTCAATTTTTGGTCAAAAAGCCACCATCGTGGAGCTACCATTACCAAACACAAGTGTTATTGGTCGTCACTCCGAGAGAAAGCGAGGCACATATACCGTATACACTTAACTATGATTTTAATATCAGTTGTCATAGTGGAACTTTGATCTTCAGGGTGGGGAACATCATCTGCCGAACATTGGGATGGCTCCCTTTATCCAAATATATTCACAGAATGGTTCTGAAATTCTCCAGGACAGGGTCGGTCTGTTCAACGGTACCTTTTAATTCAGAAATTCGTCTGCTTGATGTCTCTTTTTGAGATTTTACCTCTCGCCGTATACTCCAGCGGTTACCCAGGTGATTATTTCTCCGCAAGAAACACACTAAATAAAATGGATTTCTGACTGTCAACAGGCACTGTTCATAGAAATGCACGTGTTGTTTCACAAGAACTCAAAGAAGGCAAATCCACGAAGCCGTTCAATGAGTAGATTTTCTTTCGATGAAGGCACTGCTTGACATATTTCATGCATTCACTTCATTTCGATGATATTCACTGTGTGAACATCGTTATTGCATTATCGACCGCATGTTGAATCTAATAAATTTTGCATTGGACTAAATCCACCATTTTGGGTGTGTCACATTAGATCACCACATATCCACCTCTCTTTACTTTGCGATCTCGAAGGTGTTAGTTTGAACCTTCACCGAGTTTTTGGTGCGAAGTATTTGAGTAATATAACTAGCTCCGTAACTCTTAAGTTGCTTTCCAAATCACATGGTTGTTCTTCGATTAGGTATCTGATACTCATCTGATCCTCAAGACAGATAGAACACATAAACTGCGATATGCTAGCATTTCTTTTAATCTTCTCAATCGCGTACGTAAAACATGAGAATTCATGTTCAAATGGAGCACTGAGCAAGACAAAGGAATAGACAGTGCCAAGCGAAATAAGAAACGATTCAGTAAACCTGATTGGCTACTGCCGCGGCAGGCACACATTGTGGGTCAACAGTTTCTGTACACACAGTGAGGCTGTTTTGATAACTAGATTTTCCGTGTTGAATGTGATCAACTGAAGACACTCGCTCTTTGAAAGCCTGTCTCGATATCTAAGAATAAATTGTAGAGATGGAAGAATGCTGGGCAGCTACCTAATAAAGGTGACAGAATAAGTATATAAATGTGTTTACTCTTCCTCCTGAATTGAATCGTATGTTTCGTGCCTGTCCCTGGCCACCCAAACTTTGTAATCAGTATTCCCACTTTACCTGAGCTAGTGTGTGCGAACTTATCGTCAAACAGCCCTCGAGCAATGTCCGCATCCTCTTGTATTCCATTTTGTGGATAGAGATACCATTTCAGAGCTGTGGTTATTGATTACAGGTGTCATCGGCTGTCAATCAGATGGGGTAAACCCACGGGGTATTTCAAATACCACACAAATTTAGCTAATATTGATGGTATCAGTGGCTAGAATGGAAATCTGAACCACATCGAATGCAACTTGATAAATGGAACAAACTAATGGCCACTAAACACAATGCTTCAACGTTAAATTGATGCGCACGGGAACACTATTTTCAACAGAACGACACGATTCGAAACTGACTTGAAAAATGCACT